GACAGCATGCACACATTTACCAGGAAGGAGAGGTGTGCTTTTGGCTTTCAGAGCAAATTCTCAGATAAAGGTTGATGGCCTCACCATCTGTAGGTGGTTATAAGAATCCTATGTAAGAACATAGAAAATTAAAAATCAGTAATGCCTAAATGGTCTAAAGACACTTAGATAAGTAATAAATATTCATTAAATGTGTGTTCTCTCAAGAATCTAATATACAAGTATTTTTAGGCAAAATATGAATTTCTCCCTTTATCAAATAAAGCAGGTATTTCAGAAGTATTCCTTCTGGACTGGGCATGGTGGTGTGCAGCTGTTATCAGCACGTAGGAGGCTGAGGCAGGAGAGTCAGGAGTTCAAGGTCATCATCAGCTACTTAAGTTTAAGGCTATCCTAAGATATATAAGGCAATATCTCAACCAAAATAAGCAATGAATAAATCCTCATGGGTAGGGAAGATCTGAGGATGCTGATATACTTAGATGCTGGTGACAACAGTGGAATCCATTAAAGATAATAGCTGGATATATAAGAGGCCTAAGAATTGTTTACACAAGATTTCCACTTTTGGAATCTACCCTAAGAAAAGACCTAAAATACAACAAAGATTTATGTATGTTATGGTTTTTACAGTGTTGTTTCTGCCTCCAGCGAGGAAAGTCATAGCTTAAGTTCTATCCCTGTATGGGGATTTATGTAGTTCCTTAGTATACTGACTAATAACAATAAAATTAGCCTAGAAATCAAAAAAGGGAGAGGAAATTGGTATGCATTTGGAAATTGAGAAGTAAGCTTCTGAGCCTGTGAGTGAAAAAAAGAATAATAATAGACAATAGAAAATAGGGGGTACATAGCTTAGTGGTAGAGTGCTTGCCTAGCATGTGTGAAAACTTGGGTTCAATTCCTAGTAGTACACAACAAACGAAACAAGAAAATACTTTGATAGAATAATGAAAATTCTATATATTAAAAGTTGTAGATATGACTACAGCAGCATGTAAGGAAGTGTTGCAGCCTTCCAGTTCCAGTTTATTTATTTATTACAAAAGAAAAGTAATGAACTGAACATTCAGCTATTCAGAAAAAAAAAAAGTAGAAAAACAGAGAAGAAAGCCCAAGAGACCAAGAGACAGAGGCAACAAAGATCAGAAATTACTGAGCTAGAAAACTCAGAAACATCAAAAGGACTCATAAAATCAGTAAACCTCTTTTGAAATGGGTTAAAGTCAAGGAAGGAAAATAGCAGAGAAACATAGGTCGTAACAGACAGAAAAAGGAGACTCACAACAGATCCCATAATCATTACCCATATAGCACAGAGGGTCTCTGTGTGCATGTATGTTTACATATATGTAAGTTCCCTTGCCTGTACAGATGCATGGGAAGCCATCGTCTGCAGTCACTCTCCCTGAACCTGGCGTTCGCTGCTTTAACTATCTGGCCATCAGGGTCCAGGAATCCCTCTGTCTCTGGGCCTTTGAATAGCTGGTACTTTACCCTGTAAGCCATCTCCCCAACCCATACAAGATGACTGTGAAAACCTCCACTGCAAAAAAAAAAAGAAAATGAAAATTGAAAATGTAGATGAAAAGAATGAAGTCCTGGAAAAAAATCAACATCAAAATTGGCACAAGAGAAATGGGAATGTTCTGGTCAATTTTGAAAATTTGAATTAATGATTGAAAACATCCCACAGAGAGAGCCCAAGCAAGTCATGGTGGGACACTGGGACACTTGAGAATCAAGAGGCCCACTTCCACGTGCTACCCCAGAGAGGTGGCCCTGGAGCTGATGGAAGACATGAGGCAAGCATAACCCTGGTACAACCCCAGTAATGATGACACAAGACAGAAACATTCCACACCAGTCTTAGAGAGATCCTAAAAATCCCAGCAAATTGGTAACATGCCAAGTCCAACATTTGATTAGAAGAATTGCATCTCATTGCCAAGTTGGTGATTTGCTGCAGTAGTGGTAAAAGAAGAAAAAAAATGTAGGTACAGAATTTTATTTATCTTTTTACTTATTATTTCTGCCGTTAAATGTTGTGTTTAGGGGCTAGAGAGATGGCTCAGCAGATAAGATTGCTTGTTACTCATGCTGAGGACCAGGATTTGGTTTCTAACAGTTACATCTGGCACCCCACAACAGACTGTAACTCCAGATTCTGTCCTCTTTGAGCACCTGCACACACTTGTTGGTGTACATATATACACCTGTACACACATGTTCGTGCACACACACACACAATAAGTAAGTAGGTTATATCTGGCAAGTCTGGTGATGAGAGCAGTCACGTTGCTAATGTCAGAGGGAGGAAATGCACTGTGACTCCTACAGCTGCACTCCTTTGATGAAAGCAAAGCTAGCAGTGCAACAGTAGAGAAGGGACAAGTTCAAAATAGCGATCTCTGCTTGATGGAATTCCTTCTCTTGGTTCATGCTTACACATTCTAGAATTTCTAAAAGAAGAAAAGGTAAACATGACATAAAGGCAAACTCTCATGGACAGAGACATATAGTAAACACATCTTAGTGTGACATTTCCTGTGGCCCTCCTGCAATAACTCATATCCCCATGCCACAGGAAGAGCTACACAGCTGTCCCTTGCTGCCCTTCTACCTGATAATTGCTTTCCTTCTCCATTGTTCCTGTCATTCTTTAAGATTCTCTTGAACATACTTGGGCAAGTGATTGACCAGTAGGAACCTCATAGAGGATTCTGTTTCATAGTGTTGGCCTCCCAGTAAGTCACAAATAAGGGAGTGTGCTTACTTATTAGTATCTTGGTGACTTTTTTGGATATGTTCACACTTTAACTTATAAAAACTTTTTTTCTTCTTCTTCAAGAAACCAAAGTGTGGGAATTAAGCTTCACTTCTTCCTTCTTCTCCTCCTAGAGATGACAGGCATCTATCTCTCCAGGGCTGGTCTGTGCACATTCACATGTACATGAGCAGTTGTGTGCACATGCATGCACACATACACATTCACGTTTATGTTCCCTCCTTAAAAAACACAAATGAAGACTTGCTACATTGTTATTTTATCATCATAATGATACACTGTATGTTACTCTATATTGATTCACAAATTCTACATGTAAACTTTGTGTTCCTAAACTGCTGCTATTACTCTATAGCTTATATGATTAAGATTGCTTTTGTTTTTAAGGAAAAGCCCCGGGTTTCTTATGATAAGAAGGAAAAAAAAAAAGGGAGGATTAGTGAATGAAGCTTTGGCATCTAGGCCCTAGCTCATACTCCACAGCTAAGCAAGAACAGTCTTCTCCAACTGTGCCGCCTTTTGAGCCCCAGCACCGCTCTCCCCAAGACTCTGCTGTTCGTTCCAGTTCTGGTGTTGTGAGTCAAAACTGCTTGGAATGAAAGAAACCCCCACCACTGTGTTTACAAATGATAAAAGCAGAAAACAGTCAGAATGCAATGGACTACTGTGACTTAGTTGTATAAAATAGGTGCAAATTATGAAAAGCAATTTATTATTTTCATAGAAAAATGTTTAAAAGACTAACTATAGAGATCCCAACTAAGAACCATATATTGTTGTCTACTGGCCATCTACTAAGAAGTTCACTCAATACAATGTTTCAAAATATTTTTTTTCCACTCCCTCACTGTTTTTGGATTGTTTGGTCAGGCCAGGCTCACTACCCTTCCAAGAGCCATGTTCAAAGGGAGCCAAATGGAGTTTATGCATTACAGCAGGCATTGAAGAATGTGCTGTCCATGCTTGCTGTCCATGACGCATACTACTCTGAGAGCGCCATCATTTCACTGAAGCTGGGGGCAATTCAGCTGCCTCCATGGTGCTCACAGCAGGAGTCAGTGTGTTCACATATAAGGTTCTTAGGATAGTACCTGGTGCATGATTATCCATCAAGGAGTGTTGGCTTTAACTAGGAAATAATGGTAGCACTGCCTCTGTGGCTGGTAGAGCTTTGGGGCACAGATGTGTTG